AAGCTCAATGCCTTTGGTATCCTTTGGTGAACATTTTGAGGGTAACTTGGACGGTCCTCCTGTCAGTCAAACCGAAATTGAATAAGAAGAACTGTGGTGGCGTAAGCACCAAGTTGTCCTTCGGTCAAGGGAAGCGATCTTCAGAACTCAACACTTACTATGGTGAAGACAAGCAATCAAACGGTGAGACTTCAACAACATGAGACACAGCTCTAGTCGCCTTTATTTCTTGGCTGTCCAAACAAACTCACATCAGTTGTGTTACCAAGTTCATCTCGTTTTGACTCTTTGCGTCTAGATTTGCTTCAGGAATTCCACCAAGGGTCTGACCCTTCCGAACTCCCTTTCCGTAGATTCCAGGCTTCATTTCCGCCGGTGGTGCACCACCGACCAACCCGGTCCGACCCCAGACCAGCAACGCTCTTCTACCGACAGACGTGACCGACACGACCGACGTGACCTGCCTGACTTGGTGCAGAGGCCGAAGCTCGAAGGTTGCTGGTGGTGGTGGCAGGTGCCGAAACGAAGCTAGCACCACTCAAGAGGGCCGCGGCGCCTGCGGCGGCGGCAACGGTCGTCCTGGACGTCGAGGCCATTGCTTTTGGAAAATAGAGAAAAATAGTTAACCTTTGGCCAAAAATGGAGCAGCTGGAACAGCTTTCGCTCACACAGCCAGGTTCGTTAAAAGATGCTCGAGCCAAAACAGAAGTCGGAAGCGGGTTTGATGTGGAGTGAAGCTTCGGACGGAAGTTGGTCTTCTTTTGCAACACCATGGCATGAACACCATGCACGTCATGTCATCATGTCAATTCTATCCCTTCAAGTTCCGTTTAAAGAGCCTAGCTCGGTTCGGAGGCCAAGGCGCTGCGTGGGGCTGTTGAAGGGGTCCTCCAAGGTATGGCCAATCTCCTCGGGCTCGCTGTGTTCGTTTCCAGAGGTACAGTGTCAAGTCGAAAGTCCATGTCTCGTTGGGCTTGTTTCGTCCGGTGACTTCGCCTCTGTGGACCGGTTGGCCCCCCCGGAACCATCAAGTGACCGAAGAACACGAAGGACGTCACCATCGGGTGCGATGAACTCGTCGTGATCCAGTGACCACGACGATCGTTGCGGGAAGGATGAGATGTTTTCATGAGATGAAATGGAGACCTTTTGATGAAGAAGGGGGATGTGGAGGATGGCAAACTAGAGATAAAAACCCTGATATATATATATATATGTATATATCATCTTATATACCCATTGATCTGGTGGAAAAGGTGCAGTTGCCGTCAGCTGTCAGGGGTCGGAAGCGGGTATGACGACCGCCCCAGATCGGGGCCCCAGGGGCGGGCCCACCTCGATGGAGAGCAAGGCCCAGGCCAGGATGGTCACCGCCAGCGGCATGAAGGCTTGGAGCTCCACAAGGGCAAAGGGCAAAATCAACAAATAAACCGTCCTGAAGTGAAGGCTCCGGTGCTTCAGGGAGTGAAGTAATTAGTGTGGCGAAGAGCTAGGGATTGGCGCATCAGTGGAGTGACAGTGACGCTACTTATGTTTAAACGACAAAGCCGTTGAAAACTGTCAGGTCGGACCCTCACCAACCTGAAAGGAGGGGGGTCACCGACGTCACCGGGATGGAAACGATGGTCCGATGTCCGGAGAGACGGTGTTTGACTGGTGTTGACTGTTTCTCTTAGTAAGTCTCCCCAAACAGCAAGACTGGTGTGAAAAACTGGTAAGACTGTGTGAAAGAGTACGTCTGACCTCAAAAGGTACGCTAAAAATGGGCGATGTCTGACCGGGAGTCTGGCAATGCCACAAGGCTTGGCAGAGTTTTTTCCCCAGCTCAGCAGGTTTCCACCAGCTGCAAAGGCCAAGCCACAAGAAGCGAGACGTATGCCTGGAGTACTCTTGGGAGACCTCGGAGACCCACTTCACGCGAGTCGGGGCCCGTCGCTTGGCCGACCGGAAGACGAGGACTCAGACGCTGAATCTCGAGACAAACGCACAAAATCAAACAGTGCAAGGCCAAAGCTTTCAGGTTCAACATCAACAAATCCCGGTCCAGGTTGCTTCAGGGATCAAAAGAACATGGTCACCAGACAAGGTGGTGAGCCATGGGTGGGTTCATTGGATGGCGCTCATCGCGGAGCTGCTGGCAACGTGACACGAGCAGACCAAAGGACTTTTTTGGAGCAGAATTTTCCACAAAGACTGACCAGCTGTTGGACAAGATCTGGGTATTTGCTTGAGGACAATTGCTTCCCGGAAAAGGAAAAGGAAGGATATTCTGTATCTACGGTGCTCTGGGAATATAGCTTGGGTGATCCAGGGATTTTCTTCATTCGGTGTATTTATACTAGCAAATGGAACCAATATCTCCGGTACTCAAAGCTACCCAGAGGCATGTTTCAGGGATCACCACCCAGCCCCGCTCTGAGACGCTCCGCGCCAGAAACCGGCGCCCAGAAACCGGCACCGTGACGATCTGCGCCATCTCCTCGATGCTCGCCAGGGCACCCGTGATGTGCCCTTGCATTCGATCCTGACCGAACGGGACCCGGTGCGGTGGACCGGTGCGGTGGGCCTTCGCAGGTCGTGACCCGTCGCACTCGCAGGAGCCCCAGAACGGCGGACCCAGCAGGTGTCCCCTTTTACGGCGCCCCGTTTTGAGGTTGTAAGAAGTTTAAGCTGTCTGGTTTACAAGGTACTGTAGAGTGTAGACCTGACAATGCCAAGCTCCAAAATCTTGCAATACGTTTCATGCTCGTGAGAATGGCCATGTCATACATCTTGTTCAATTCTCACAGCAGCCCTAAATAGGAGCCCTCACACTATCATCAGAGTATTCTTTGCTGTTCTTGTCGCAAACTTTAAAGCAAGCAAGAACACTTCCGAACTTGCCATTGCAATCAGTTCCTTTACGTAACCCCCACTCACCAACATTCCAGCGCCGGCGGTTCCCCCGGTGCACCTCGGTGTAGAGCGCCGCCGAGGAGGGGTCCTTGGCGAGGCATTTGTAGATGCCCTCGCCGAAGGTCACCAAGATCTCCCGGGGGTCGCGCTCCATCTCCCCCAGCAGCGCCCAGCTTTTGCCCCTCGCGCCCACGCCACCTGCGTGAACGTAGCAGGATGGTTTCAGTGGTTCTAGACAGTGTTTTGCTAGAGTGGGGATTTTACTGACACGGATTCCGTGCACTTGTTGAGTAGCATGGTCAGGCCAAATTGATTGATGGGTTTACATTGCAAGGAAAAAGGTCCTCTAAATGAACAGAAACGACGTCCGATACATGTCTTGAGAGGATTCAATTTGGTCTGTGGCTTCGACGAAGGACTCCATCCTCTGATGTCCCAAAAAAACTGCCAAGCAAAATCCCACCAACGAACGCTTCACCAATTCTTGGTTTCTCTTGAATGGACGCATCACTTTTTAAGGCATCCGAAAACTGTTGGAACGCACGACCGGAGGCCGGCCGCTCCGCCGTGTTGGGCTGCGCTTGGCCTCCCAGGAAGGTGCCCAGGTATGCGGGGAACGTGGCCAGCTGTCCATCCATCCACTCCAAGTCTTCCTCGCTCATCCAGAGTCGCGCCAAGCGTCTCAGCTGCTGCAGGTGCTGCTTTGTCTCCCGCACGCAGCGGTACCCAGCGCACCAGCGCTCATAGGCCTCAGGTGAAAGAAGCATTCTTGGCATTCAGAACGTGAGAAACCAGGTAGAGTCTGTGGTGGAAAGATATTGGTTCTTTTTCGAGGTCAACTAGAGCTCGAAAACCGGCCAGTGACTACCAACAGGATAGAAACAAGTGCCACTTTTCGAGTAAACATGTGGATGCTGGGCAAGACTGGTCGTGAAAGACTGGTCGTGAAAGTCCCCAAAAAGGGCGGACCAGCACATCCCAGCCAAAGGGGGTCCCAGCGTCCGCCGTGGTCCGGAAGACCAAGAGCAAGCCCAGCGCTGTGGAGCAAGCGCTCAAGAGTGCCAGCGGCGGGGGACGCACCAGGCCCGTGAAGTAGTTCACGATCTGAACGCTGAGGGCGAAGACTGCATTGAAGGCCAGGTGCGACTTCACCTGACTCAAGGGTCGCCATCGTTAGTATTCAAGAAGGGTGACAAACCCGACACTTCCATCTCTTTAATCTTCTCCCCAAAAAAACATGCCCCCCAACTTCCGGAGAAAAAGCGGGTTTGTCCGGATTGACTGAAAAATACTGCCACCTAGATTTGAACATTCAGCATCCATTCGTTGTTATCCCTCGCTATAGACGCTTTTCTCCTTCATCATCTCCATGTCACACGCTTCAGGATGATGGACAGCGGGAAGTTCTGAAGGTGCTCGAACCAATCTTCGGAGCTGTAGCGCTCCGCCACGCCCAGCGTTCCGTCGCTCTCCGGCACCGCAGCACCGGTGCTCCTGGCGGAAGTGAGCTGAGACGAAAGCCCTGCTGAAATCCATGCTTCTGCGATCTTCTCTGAAACTTTTCTTGAAAAAGCTGAGATTCTTCTTCACTCCGTCTTTCAACGGATTCTCGTTCAACTCTCCCGCCTTCGCATTGTGACACTCCGAGAACATCCTACTGCCGCCGCCCACGGCGCCCAAACGCGTCCGAAGTCCGGCGCGGAGGACGTTCGCCACGGCGCGGAGATCGTCGGAACAGCGACGGGGCGAGGGACAAGCGCCGTGGCACATGGGCTCAGCATCTGAAAAAGTGATCGAGTTGATCGGCTGATGGCTTTTTTGGTGTTTCTTTATGTTTTATTTTCTTATTTGGGTGTCATCTGATGCACAGTACAGACCAAAGAAATATGGGGAGAAAGCATGTTGAGATGCGATACTGTATGTAGAGACTGGTTTCACTTGCATGAAAAGCTTTCCGTGGAGCCATCAGAGTCGCCAGAGTTTCCCACCCAACTCACCAAGGAAGCTCGTGAGTAATAACTGTGTATTTCAAGCACTCTTTCCCCGCAGCCGCTGCATGGAGCAGATTCGTGACGTTTCCGTGACTGGCTCGTTTCTGAAAAGGCCTCAATGTCTTTGTGGTGCTTGTGCATGTACCATGGAATGGCAACCTGAAGCTTGGCCGCACTTGACGGTCGAAGGGTTGCTAGAGAGTCCCGAAAGGAAACCACGTGCCCAACAGCCCCACCTCTCTGGTTCCAAATGAATCGTCTTCGACGTCCCACGGTTTTGGAGACCTTGTTCCGGAAAACCCGACCTCGGTGACCTCGTTCCATCTCAGTGGAGGGAGGTCGAAAACAGGCATCCTGCGACCGAATCTTCCAGTCGAGCTCCGCGAAAAACACCTCCACTCCAAGAAGCATCGGCGTGCGCAAAGCCTTTGGTGCCTTCGTCACAATCCTTCAAATACTCCTGCATCACAGGAACCACATGAACACACTGTTGCCCCACGAGAAATCATCTGCAGAAAAAGCATGACAAATACACTTCTGGTTTGGCCGGTCTTGGATTCTCATCCGTAGTCATGCACTCGGTGTCAACAGCTTGCAGCGCTCTTTCCTACGAACCCCTGGTGAATCACGGTGAATTTCTGGTAAATCCATCCATCTTTGAGGAGCACCAGTGGCAGTTCAACGACACCAGTGACGTCCTTGCTCTCCGGATCTACACGGTACCTTGGCGAGATCGAAGTTTCACTGCGTCTTCATCGATAAACAAAAAGGAACGATATGTTTCTTTGTTGAGAAATAAGCAGGTCTGTCAGACTTGCACGAGAAATCGTGGAGACACCCAATGTGCCACTCACAGCTTTTCAGAAGAAGGCAGTCTTCGTGCTTGGAAGGGGCTTGTCGGGCATATCAATCAAAAAGGACGCATCGCCCACATACTTCGGATCCTCCACCAGGTCCGTGTCCTTGACATCCAGAACTCCGCTGTACGTCGGCAAATAAAGAGCTGAGCTGTCTCCCAAAACCCCCCCAAAAAAAACCCTCAACGACTTCATCTACAGCGAGATCTGGATGTGTTTTGCCAGAAAAAGGTCCGTTGTTTGCCAGAAAAAGCGCTTCAAAACCGGGGGGCCAAACCCAAATCTTGGCCCTGAAAAGCACCGGACAGGACGCTACGACAGGAACATCCGCCAACACAATTGGGGCGCCTTCCCGATCAGAAAACCCACACGAATCGGCATGATCACGTCTGCTATTGGTGGTGGAACAAGAACGTCGGACTTCGTCTCCCTTTCCAGTTTGAGCCAAAAGGTTTCAAGAACATGCTGGTTCCATGGTAACCCTCGCAAATGACAAATAAACTCTATAGCATTGGGGCTCTCACAACTTACATAGGACACGCGAGTGCAACAATTGAGGTTGAGAATAGGAATTAGTCGACGCACTTTATGCCGACGCTAGACATGGATTGTCGATTCAACAGCAAGGACATGACTAGATCAAACACCCACAAATTGCAGTTGATCCAGAGACCCTTTTGACCTGTTTAATGCGCGTTCATCATTTCACCAAAACGGTGTTTCTTTCCTGTATTGGTCCGGAAACAATGTGTCAGGTGAAAGAAGGCGACTACTCAGACAGATCGAATGATTTACAGTATAGCATAGAGTCCAAACTTGAACATTCGATGTCACTGTCACTCATCTTTTTCCATTTTGTTCTTGCAAGGTTATGATGAAGACTTCCTCCCCCACCCGAAACTTGTAGTCCAACCCCTGAAGCCTTGCTAGCGTCATATCCGACCAATCTCACTTGCCCTGACAGCTGGGCATCTGCTAGGATTCTTCAGTATCTTGATGTACACTCTTGATAAATAAACCGCCCAAAAAAGGTTCTTCAATCCACAAGGGGGGCTTGTAAACCAAGAGCTAGTCTACATTACCCAGATTGCGAAAGGCTTCTTAGTAGAACTGGCTGCGCACTGACGGTAGGTGCGACATCCGTGCGGATACGTGGATTTTGGCTTGAAAACCGCTCTCGTGAAATGTCTTACTAAGGTGTTAAAGCGCGACCTCGATCAGAGGCTTCATCTACTGGGATTTGACTGCCTGGGATGGTCGACCCGATCTGTGCTTCAGAAACCCTCAGCCCAGTCTGCGACGCGGCGAATTCCAGGGTGCCGCAAAATATCCCTTCCACAGGCTTTGGCAGCTTTGGTGCCTAAAACAACCAAGGCCGGGCTGGAGGGTGGCGCAAGACCCAAAGAATATTCCATGGTCCAAAGGTGAACGCAAAAGAGACGAATGAACGATGAAAAAGACAAGACAGACAAGAAGTTGCCAATGAGAAAGGAACCATGTGAAAAGGGGCAACCGATGAACCAAACCTCATTGTAGCAAACCTGGGGCACCTAAGCCTTGTTTGTTCAAGAAAGTACGCGCGCGTGTGCACAAACGAGGGCCCGTACGAAAGTGCGCGCAAAAAAAAAAGGGTGAGGGTGACGTGAAGAAAGAACGGACATGAAAGAAAACAGGGAGCCGGTATGTGGGAGCCAATGAAAAGGAAACCAAATCAAAGAGGACAAGTGGTGAGCAACAAAATCGATTGAAGAACCTGTTGCAAACGCCCAGTCTGTTTGTAATTGCGCCGCGCACAAATGAAATACAGAGTGGGGTGCCTGGATATTCCACCTAGGGACACCCAATAGAAAGAAGCGAAGAAGGGAAGGAAAAAATAACTATTTTAAGAAAAGAGATGGGTTCCTCCCAGGTACTACACAACCACGGACGCACCGTGGACAGCGGCTTTTGGGTGTTACATCGAAAAAGCCCAAAGAGGTAAAAGCAACAAGACGGCGAGCTGAGAGGACAGAAAAAGGAAGGAGATCCCAACTTCCCAAAAGCATCCTAAATCAGCTGCGGCCGCTGAGGCCCACTTGCCGCCTTCTCAACGTGCCTGCTGCAGGCACGTTCTGGCATTCAGCCTGCTCAAGCTCCATTCGTCAGCTCTTGATCACCTTGCTGCAAGGCTCTCATCCTCGGGTCCACCCTGGGCTGGCACAAAGCCAAACACTTGGGAAATGCGCACTGAACTGATTGCGGTTTGCCACACGCGGGCCCAAGTGAAAAACCTCAAAGGTGAAACCAGAAGTTCTACTAGGACTTACATTTGACATGCTATGAACTGCTGGTGCAAACGCTCTGCTAAAGTCACTCTCTCTTTTTCGTTTGCCGGAATGTTGGATTCGTTTCTGGAACCCTTCTAGGATTCACTATGATGGTCCAAGGCCCCCCTTGTCTTTGACAAAGAAGAGACTGTTCCACGCATGGAAAGCGAAGCAAATAAGTGTCCAAACCGCAAAACATATTCGAAGGTAAAGCAATAGTTGTTATGAAGCGTGGAATCGGCCTGAAAGGACAATGTTAGTCCAGGCTGTATATGGCACTGCTCTGAAAAATAGAAGGGCTGAAGCAGAACCTGCCATGTGCGGGAGGCATCCAGCATGACTAAGCGAACCAAAGCGATATCAGAACCAGCAATTAGATACTGGTGTGGGGGGGAGGGTAAAAATGAAATGGATGCCTCAAATGTAAGTCCTTGATCCAAAATGTTTTGGTGCAAAGTGAAGATCCCAGTAAAACACCACTGAACGAGTACAGTAAACGTTCTACTAGGACTTACATTTGACATGCTATGAACTGCTGGCGCAAACGCTCTGCTAAAGTCACTCTCTCTTTTTCGTTTGCCGGAATGTTGGATTCGTTTCTGGAACCCTTCTAGGATTCACTATGATGGTCCAAGGCCCCCAACAAAAACTATCAGAGTGAAATCCTACATCGCCCCAAACCCCCCTAAAGACGTGATGGGGGATTTCCGGCAAATATACTTTAAGGGAGTGACCAAAGAAGCGACGCATCCGACGGAACTAAGGAACAATGTGACTCAGGACGCCAGAGATCGGCCACAGTAAATCGGATACGGTCTTTTTGTGAAAAACCATGAGGAATATCAGATTCCAAGTTCCACCTGCTCAGGTCATCTGCAATGATGTTGGCTTGGCCGGGGATATGGCCAACATCAAGTTCAATGCAAGTTTGGCTGGCAAATTTCGTCAGGACTTCAACGAAAAAGCACAAAGGTTTGGTAGTTGTGAAGCATTTATTGCTGACAGCTTCCGCGCCAGTATTGTCACTCAAGGATTTCAAACAGACAGGAAGTCTTGCGCCAGGATGAAAAGCTGCAACTAAAATCACCAAACCAATCTGTGCCAAGGTTTCAAAAGATGCTACGCTCTTCTGCATATCAGCCTCCAACTGAAAAGGAAGGCGTGAAAAGTCTTGGTGAGTGAACTTTTCAGAAAACCACAAACAATGTCCTGACTCGTGCTGAATGAAGCCACCGAGTTGACAATAGTCGCCTGCCGCACAAGCATCTGCAGCTGCAGAGCCGTTCCAGTATGGCTTCGGTGCCATAGAACGACATGGCACCAAGTGAGCTAACCAATCATCAAACAATTTCAGTATTCGGTATGAATCTTCGCGGACAGTTCGACGTGAAGAAGCTGGGTCTTTAATGCGAAGCCACAACCTTTTGTCAGGAGAAATGCGAACTTTCTGCAAGTCGTCTTTTGATTGCAATGTAGTGTGTCGCACAGCAATCAAAGTACTGCCAAGTGGCACCGCAGAATGAAGTGGTCTGGAAACAAACTCCAAAGAGTCCGAAAGATGCTCGGCAAGTTTCGGCCAGTCCCCTGGATCCATGCTGTAATGTGTTGCAGGAATGAGGTACAAGTCCTGATACAGGTAATGAATCCATATACGCATTAATGGAAAAATTTGTGTAATCCACATCAGCAGGCCAATTGTCTTTTCCAGCAGTTTGCGTGTCGTTTTGCGAGAACGTCGCAGTTCGGCCAAATACGATTTGATTTTTTCCAATTTGGGCCGAGGTAAGGTGATAACACCTGCTCGAAAGTTGAATTGCCAACCGATCCAAGTGACCACTGACCCAAGTTCCGATTTGCGCCAGCTGACCGGAATGCGAGTGATCTGACAGAAAATGCAGCAAAGAGCTGCAGCTAAGGGCATGGCTTGTGCGTCCATGAAGAACAAAAAATCATCGACGTACAAAAATCCACAGTGGCTCCACCATATCAGATGGTGTAAACAGCGCAGAATCCAACCACCAACTCGACTCCACCAGGCAGCGGAAAAAGTGGCCCAAAAGGGGGTAACATAGTAGAAGTAAATGTCCTGATTCAAACTGAAACCCACCAAACCACGCTCTTCCGGGTGTAAGACAACACGTTTGTGGGCTGATTTGATGTCTAAGAAGAAGCCAGCTAAGGGCCGCGAAGACTGTCGCAATGGATACGACCGCAAAACTTCTTTGGCAGTAGGTAACGTGCTGCGTTCAGGAATCTTGCAGCGGCTGTTTAAACCACAAATGCTGGAATCCACCACCAGACGAGGAGGGCGAGAATCGGATTTGGCAATTCCCAGTTTGCCCACTGAAACTCCATTAGGAAATTCTTGTTGAGCCTGCTCCAAGGTGCCTGAATATTTAAATACCCAGCCTTTCTCCAATTCTTCAGCAACCAAGGATTCTGTAAGCGCCGGATCTTCTTCTGCACTTTGCCAATTGGTCAGGTGCACCGACAATGGCAACTCAATTGCTGGTTCAGCTGTGTTGCGAGGAAACACGGATGATGCCGGAATATTGCCAGATACGCCAGTACGCACACCTTCTAATAAAGAAGGGAACAAAGTCACATCCGGGTCCCGCATGATATGATGCAGTGATTGTAAAATTGCCAGAAACATTGGTTGATGTTCCCGTATGCTCCAATCTGCTTGCAGGCCATGCTGCCGGAGAAACTCTTCCAAAGCCGTCTTGAAGGGCAGAAGTTCTTCGTCAGAAAAAGGTGGATCCGGATTGTTGGAGCCAATATGCGACAGCAAAACCTTGTCCAAACGTTGCGATACAATCAATTGCATCCAAGTTGTACGGAGAGCTGCAAAAACATCCAAGTGAGTACGGTCGGCACAGCTCCAATCGGGGGTAGATGGCAGGCCGCCTCCATCTTCTTGAGAAAATGGGAAGTCCGAACATGACTTCACCGGTAAAATTTCAAATCGGTTTGTCCACGAAATGTCCAAACATCCTGGAGACAGAAGCGGGCCAATAGCTGTGGCAAAAGCCGTGGCCAATGGTGGTGGATAACACGCGGTGGCTCGACTGAGGTAATTGCCCCAGGCATCTGTCTTCCCCTGAATGCGCTGATGTGAATTGGGTGGATGCGAACAGGAGC